GTCTCCTCGGGTTTGCAGCTTGCAAATCTCTTCACCAAAGCTATGACCAAAGCCCAGCATAATTTTCTTATGGGCAAACTAATGCTTGTTCCCCAACATCGGTTTGAGGGGAAGTGCAAAGAAGATGGAAGGTAGTTCTGTAATTTTACTTTTTCTTTATTGTAATCTAGTAGGCGTGCACATTAGTGTTTTGTCTTGTACAGCATCGTACCTTTATTTCTTTTGTAAGGACAATCTTGTCCATTCTCTTACTTAATATAAATTCTTTCTTTCTGGGTTGCTTCGAATATACCGATCAACTCTAACAGATTTGAACTCCTGGCTTTCTCCCTGTACTCTCTCTCTCTCTCTCTCTCTCTCTCATAGATTAACAGATTCAGCACCTGATCCACTAAAGCATCCAAGAAAAATAGCGAGTCATCAGCATACTGGAGGTGTGAAATGTTAGGACCCTCCATCCCCACTTTGAAACCTTCAATCCAACCCTGTTGTGAGGCCTTAACCATGAGCAATTTCAATACTTCCATTACTAGTACAAACAACAACAGTGCTATTGGATCTCCTTGTCAGAGACCCCTAGAGGCATGGAAGAATTCCAAAGAAATTCGATTAATAAGTAAGGAGAAGGAGACAGATGAAACACATGCGAACATCCATCTTCTCCACTTCTCCCCAAACCCCATTAATCTTTGCATTTCTTCCAAAAAAACCCCACTTCACATGATTGTACGCTTTCACGATGTCAATTTTGCAAACCAGCCCCAGTCTATCACTTCTTAACCTGGAATCAATACATTCATTGGCCACCAAGACCCCATCTAAGATTTGCCTGCCTTCCACAAACATGAAGGCCATTTGGGTTTCTCCTACTACTTCATGAATTACTCCCTTTAACCTCCTAGATAACACCTTGGACAACAGTTTGTAAGGACTGCTAATCAGACTTATTGGTCTGAAATCTTTTTTGTCCACTGCCCCATCCTTCTTTTGAATCAAAGTAATGAAAGTTGCATTGAGCCTTTTCCAAAATTTTTGAATCATAAAACTCCTTTATCATCTGAGCAAAATCCTCCTCCAAAAAACTCCCAACCTTTATGAAATTGAAATCGAATCCATCCAGCCCTGGTGCTTTGTCCCCATTTATCTTATTAAAAGCTTCCCTAATTTCTTCAATCCCAATCTCCCTTTCCAACCAGTTTGCAGAAAAATCACTTAATTTTTTTGGTTCCAATCCCCTAAAGGACACCCAACTCCACCTTCTCCCCCTGTAGCCTGTACAGACTTTTGTAAAACTCCATTATCCTCCTCTGAATCCCCTCCCAAGTTTCCAACAACTCATCTCCTACTTTGACTCCTGTGATCAGTTTTCTTATCTTTCTCACACTTGCAAACATGTGAAAATATGTTGAATTCTTATCCCCCTCTTTGAGCCAAATGGCCCTTGATTTCTGTCTCCAACTTATTTCTTCCGTTAGAATGATTTCTGTTTCCTAGCAATATCTAGGCCCTAGAAATAAACCAAGACGCAAGTAAAGCAAAAAAACAAATGTTATAACCTATAGGCTATAGCTGACACAAGTCTCCAATGAATATAACTTAACTAACCCTCAAACACGTCAGTTCTACTGAATTTTATATTACTGTCCATCTCTTCAATGTCTCAATTTCTGCAGCTGGCCTTGATAACCTTTGTAATTGGGGTTCCTGACTTTGAGGATTGAAATGGAGGTCATGATTTTCTTAACTTGTTTATATGCTTTCTTTACACTTATAGACATAATAAATCTTCACGTAAATATAGTTTCATTTATTATTGATTTTGTTTATTAATAACTAGTGTCCAAGTTCCATTTCTAGAATGTTTATGAATGCCATGATGTAATTAATGCAGATTGAATGCTTTCTGGGTAATAATGGTAAGAAAGTGTTTAAGATTGAATGCTTTCTTTACACTTTTGGTCACCACGTTAGCAAACTTACCCATTTATTTTCTTTCAGTGTTTAAGATTCCAAGGAAGGTTTGTAGTAGGTTGGAGAGGTTGATGAGAGATTTCCTTTGGGACCAGGGAGAGGAGAAGAGGGACCACAGGGTTAGCTAGAAGGTGGTGACCAGAAGTAAAATTTATGGGGGTTTGGGGCTTGGGAACATTGGGATGAGGAATTCGGCCCTTCTGGGGAAATGGTTGTGGAGGTTCCCTCTGGAGCAGGAGAAGCTATGGGCTAGAATAGTGGCAAGCATACATGGGCTGGAACAAGATGGATGGGATGTTGGAATCAGAGCAAAGACCACAAGCACTTCACCTTGGAAAGCCATTCATGATTTGCTTCTAGTCTTCTCCCCTCATGTCAGGTATGATTTGAATTCAGGTAATTCCATAAAATTCTGGGAACAAATTTGGGTGGGGAATGTTCCTCTTAAGGAATAGTTTCCTTCTTTGTATTATCTTTCTGAATTTAAAAATGAGTCAGTTTCTTCTTTCATCACCCCTTCCTCTTCCAGTTCGAGGTTTGGGTGGAACCTAGGTCTGAGGAGGGTTGTGAGGGACTCAGACCTTGATAGTATTTCGAGCCTCTTTGAACTTCATAATGTTTTCTTGGACCCTTCTAAGATGGACTCTAGAATTTGGACCCCTACCCCCACGGGCTATTTTTCTTGCGCTTCCTTCTTCAAAGTCCTTTGCTAGTCCACCAATCCTGCAACCTCCCCTTTCCCGGTTAGTGAGGTTTGGTGCAGACCGATTCCTCCTAGGGTTAGTAGCTTTTGTTGGGAAGCCTATTTGGAAAGATTCAACATTGGGGATTTGCTCCAAAAGAAGAGACCCAATACTTGTTTGTCACCTCATTGGTGTGTTCTTTGCAAAGCGGATGGGGAGACTGGTTTTCACTTACTGGTGTCTTGCCAATTTGCTAAGTCAATTTGGGAGTGGGCTTTTTCTCTCTTTAGGTATAGGTGGAACCCTCCATCAGACTTGAAGAGCCTATTTTCCCTTTCCTTTTTCAGGAGGCACATGAAAAGGGGAAGGACTATGTAGAGAGGTTTGAGGGCTGCAGTATGTTGGACATTATGGGAAGAAAGAAATACTAGGATCTTCTCAGAAAATGAGAGAGGGGCTGAAGAATTGAGGGTTGTGATCCACATAAGGGCAGTACAGTGGCTGAAATCACTATAGCTATTTACAGACTACACAATGGAAGACATGTTGAGAAAGTGAGGTGAGATTGCAAATTGCACTCAGATCAAACCAATAATAAGGGTATCTTGGACTCCCCCACCTGCTGGCTTCTTAAAGTTAAATTTTGATGGGAATTGTAGGGGGAATCCGGGACAATCAGGGATTGGAGGTGTTTTTAGGGATGAGAACGGGGTCATTTCTGCCCTGTTCTCAGGCCCAATTGGTGTGGGGGATTCCCTTAGAGCTGAGATCTTGGTAGTTATGGAAGGAGTTCAGAAAGCCAAGGAGATGAATGTCAGGAAACTCATAATTGAAGGAGACTCAGAGGCGGTGATAGGGTGGCTGATTAAAGACAACTGCGGTTTATGGAACTACAGAAATGAGAAGAGGAAATTCAGGTGGCTGGTACGGGAGATGGAAATCATGATGAGTTGGGTTAAGAGATCAGCTAATTCCTTAGCTGATGGCTTAGCTAAACAAGGGATAGAAAAGGAAGCAATGTTTTGGGCTAAGCTGTAACTTAATTGTTTCTTTTTCTCTTTTTCTTTCTTTAGAGGGTTTAAGTTGTATTCGGAAGATAAGAGTTTTTGTCTTCCTTGCTGTAAATAGTTTGATATTTCAATGAATTTAATGAATCTGTTATTGATCAAAAAAAAAATGGTAAGAAAGTGGATCAATGTCTTTTTTTCATCAGCAACTTTAAATGTAATGCATTGATTAATGTAAAGATCTAACCAATAAAAAATGTAAAAAGTATAGGAATTTTTTAGCTCATAGACTCCTTACAAAGGGGAAAAAAAGAATCCATGATACAAAATGGTCACTATCAGGTCTGCAAAAAAAAAGACAAAAAGCATCCTCCCCGAGTATATCATCTGGAGAGTTGATGAATCTAGGGATGCAACTGAACAAGGGTTTCATATATAAAAAAATATATATAAAAAAAAAACAATCGTTTTAATTTAACATGAAAAGTAGTCTAAACTCTAAACTACTACCCAGGCATCAACTGGCAAACAGGCAGGACCTATCATCCAAAGTGGCAATGCCTTAAACTACAATAGGAAAGGTATAGGTTTATCTGCATTCATCAACATATGTCTGCTCTGTCCTAAACACCTGATTGTGTATGACTCAATTGGCTTAGAGCAGGAAAAAAAAAAAGAAAAAAAAATGACCTAATTGTAAACAGAAAACTACAAAAGAAGATTTCAAAAAGAAACCTAACCAATGCAGGTGAAGAAGAGATTACAAGCCAAATTATGCATCAATGTTTAATACCAATAAGTTGTCGTTCACTCATAAATGGTACTACGAGGAATGTGGGTTATTAACAAGAAATTTAAACAAAAGAACCATCGCATAGTAACAGTGGTATGAGTTCAATATTAAAATTTCAGTGGATTTGAGATAAATACTCTTCTAAGTATTGAGGACAGTACTGTTACATAGAAAGCTCTGTGGCAATTAGATAAACATGATTCAACATTGAGGACTTCAGGAAGTTCAACCAGAATGTGATCCGCATGCCCTATGGTCTCAACGCAGTAACGTTACTTATCCAAATTCAAAACAAACAGATGTAAGAATCCGATAATAAGCTCAAACAATTAGACCAAACTGCCACTGCCCAAAGCTATGACTCGATTCCACAGAACTATTCATGCAAAAAACCAGGGATTCAGAAAACCAGGTTGACGCGATTGCCTTAAGTCATTTCATCAAACAAAACCGTGAAACTCAATTATCTGAAGCGGAATATAGAAGCGAGATGCCGAGAACTAGTGGAAACAAAGAGGAAGGGTGGGTTGATTGGATCAAACAGACCTTTGAGGATAAATGCCTGCAGAAGTGTGGGATCGAGCTGAAGTGCTTTGTCGCAGTCCTTGATCACGTGCTTGTGCAGCTCAAGTTGACTATAACAGAAGGCTCGATTGCTGAAACCAACATTTGCAGTCATAATTCAGTCAATCCAAGATTTCAGCATCAGTAGAGACCAGAAAGACGAAATCATTATTATAATATATCAGTGAGAAAAGAGGCAGAATGGAGACGGAAAAGAAGGCAGAGGATTACCAAAGGTCTTGGATGGTACAAGATTGAGAAAGGAGAGAATCGAGAACGCGAATGGCCTTAGACCAGTTCCGAGAGGTGCAGAACCTGGCAATCTCGACCCTCTGGGAGACGGGTGATCCCATCGTACGGATCGGATCCCTCTCCCCCACTCTCCGTTTATTATTACTCTCCCGTCTTTTTGCTGCTCTTCTTCGATTAAGAAGAGATGGATAGATGGATAGATAGATAAAAGAAATAGAAGAAGAGCCAAAGAGGTATAAAATTAAAAAAGAAAAGGTTTTAAGTAGGTTAATGCCGTCTTTCTTTCTCAATTCTTTTTTTCCTTCGTTTTCCTTTTTCTTTTTCTTTTTTCTTTTTTCTTTTTATCTGTTTCTCAGTGTCACCGGGTAGCGACCGTGCCTGTAAATCTTGTTCGTGGAAGCTGTCCAAAGGATACGGTGGCCCCAGCAGCACTACTCCTCTTACCTACTTCTAACAGTCTTACCAATACGATACATACGCCCACCACAACAAATACAACTTAGACACCGTTTCCCTCGGTCACCTGTAACCGTAAACATCTCATTTGGTCCAAATAATAGTTTTGCGCCATATCTAGAGGTGTAAAGTGGGTCATGCTCCCGTGGGCGGTCTATATTTTTTGCGGGCTGAGCTGTTCTGGTCTGCAGACCATTACGAGCCATGCCACCTTCCTCGATGAAAAATTCGAGGGTCGACCTGAGCCGTGCCGTGATATGGGTCGGGCTGGCCCATGGGCCAAACCTTGGGCCAGGTCGGGCCGTGCATTAGGCCAAAGTTATTTATTTAAAAAAAAAATTGACAAAAAACTTAAAATTTTAATTTTATATGAATTTTGTGTATAAAATTGCTTATATATGCAATAATTAAATAAATTAATATAATAACATTAAAAAAATATTTATTTTATTAATATATTATATATTATATATTATTATATATGTATAATTTATATAATTATATATAATATATATATGTGGGTTGTGCCGGCCCACAGGCCGCGGGCAGCATGGCCCATGGACCTAAAATCCTAGGCCCAACACGGCCCACGGACCGTCATGCCAGACCAGTTCAAATTCGTGATGGGCCACGGACAGCACGGCCCGGTTTACACCTCTAGCCATATCTATAGAAAATTTTCAGGAAGATAATTTGCAAAAAATTCATGATATTCATTTGTTGAGTAGAAATGGCAGTATGGCACAGAACTGTGAAGTGCCTAGCGTTTTGTGTGACTAGCAGGTCGAGATCTCTACACCATGTCACGATAAAGCTAAAACCTAGCTTCCAAGTTCCACCTACTGGACCACTACTATCACTCTATCAGGACCACCACCGGACCTCTTTAAATGGTAATAGCTACTCAACAGCAGTAAAGAAATACTGGCATCCTAAAGTATACCTAAAAGAGGGATGTCTTCTCTTTTTTCTTGTTTTCTGATAAATAACAAAAATTGATCAAATTTAGGGGTGAGTATTTAGTTTATTCAGTTAAAAATCGAATCAAATAAATTGAAATTTTAAAAAACTGAAATCGAATTACAAAAAAACTAAAATAATCAAAACCGAAATTTTCGATTCGATTTTTGGTTATTTTGATTAAAAATCGAATTTAATTAATATATATAAAATATTATATATTATAACCTATAATATATATTATAAAATTGAATTTCATTATAATACATTATATATAATATATAACTATATAAATATATAACATATTATATATTAAATGTTATTTATTGTATATTATATATTATATAATGAATTTCAGTTAATTTGATGAAATACTGGCGTGTTCATTAGTCACTACTCATGATTGATTTCCAGACAGGTGTGTAAAATGTTGTTTCTAGCAAATCCGGATCCACATTTGCAACTTGGGCAGCGGCACCTAATAATTTCTTGCATTTAATCCAAATATCTAATTGCCATCTCTTTTTTTTATGAATAATTGCCATCTCTTTTATCGCTCAAGGCTCAAATCTGATTTCCTGCCTCACTACTCTCTAGTCTCTACCTACATTCTATTCGCATTGAAATGCAGATAAAGTGAGTAGGAAATCTGGGTGTCAACGGGCATGGACCCCATGAATACGCCCTAAAACAATTTCTTACAAAACATCCAACCGTGACATATCCTTCGATGTTATCCAAGGCACAGGTATGTTATAATGTTAGTACTGCTGGCTGTTTTGAGGATTGTGATCATTGGCATTGTCATCTTCTCTTGGTTTCATTACTTGATCCGTATATGCTTGTTAGTGTTAAATATGAAGTCAAGGGCAATAATATAATTTCTGATGTTCAAAGCCGATGGGTCCAACTTGTTGAGAGAAAGAAGGCGTTAAAGACCCCAAGAGTTATCTCAGGGGCATAAACTCTAGCAGTCAAGTTAGTCGAGAGCTGTGAGGGATCAGACCAAGCAAAAAAGAAAACTCATTAGAGCTTAAATCTGTGTGTTTACCTCAATGTGTGAGCCCCTTTTATAGCTGGAATTGCCTTAAAAGATGGGCAATTGGGAGCAGGTGGCGGTGATTGACAGTAGTTGATGATGGATGGCTAGGATGCATCCGGCCGACACCACGTATCAAGGTTCGTGGGTCATCCAGATATCCCAACATCACTTGCC